GCTAGTTATATAGTTTGGAACAACTTCAACACCAAAATGTGATGTTAACAGAGTTGAGCAAACTGTGAAAGGGCTTAAAGTTGGTGGAAAGGAGTTGCTGAAGAAGTCATCACAGGAATCTCACTTTGATGAGTAAAGAAGGTGGAATTACCCATGTTTGAATGTGAAGACCTAGTGGCGTAGAGCCAAATCTGATATTCCTACCGTTGCCCATTTGAGTGGAATTCTCAAAAACCAGATCAATGTGATTGTTTATACCAGACCAAATTGAAGGTTGAATGGATCTAACAACAGGTTGATTACCCGCTCTTGCGGTCTTAGCCCACTCCAAAATAAAAGAAATAAGATCCCAACTAAGCTTTAAAATAGTTCCTTTAGGTTGTTATATTTATAACAAGAGATCCGTTACGACAATAGTTATCTTGACTGATACAGTTAAGTCACAACACAGCTAACAAAACTACCAGTCTAGTGTTCAGTTCATCAGTTTACTGACAATACAAGGCTAATCCAACTGATACAATACATCTCTAACGCATGTGAACTTGTATCGGCTCAGCAATCCTGATTTTAAGCCTTCTAAATGTTGTAAAACATTTTTTTTGTTTCTATTTTTCATTGTTTCGAGAGAGGAAAACACGCTATTCTTAGCGATCAATATATATGCTATTTGTCTTGCATTTCAGTTATTTATACCAGATGCTAGTTATTGACCTGCTCTACTGTATCTGCCTACATTAGGTGGGGCTATCAATCACGTGGTGATTTTTGGGATAAAAGCCACTTAATGCGACAAATTGAGAAGTATGTTCTTTCTTCTACGCACCCCAGATCTCTATCGTATCAAACTATGCACTTCATTGAAAATGAACTGTTTTAATTTATCTCAAATGCAGGTATGCAGATATGTATACCTCTAGGGTGTCAAACTTTCTATATTACACACCCTTTATGTATTTCCGCTCACAGGAGCAGGTATGCAGACAATCTTTTTCTTACCTCATCTTCCAAGTTATTGAAGCATTATGTTATCATTTGGCTGTAAACTAAGATATTTTTCTTTCTTGTTCTTCAGAACCTTGCACATGATTCATACACACACTATTGTTCTCAAGTGGATCACTTTCCTTCCAATGGAAAATTGGACTAAAAACAGAGGATAAACAGAATAAGTCTATGAATTATGTACTATATTATTTAAATTAATAACAAGTCTATGAAAGACCTTAGATATCGTGTTTCAGAATTCTTTAAAAGTCCCCGTATAAATCGAGATTATTTGTATTTTGGGTCAACAATAAGGATGGCGAGGTAAGGTGCTTTCCCTACACTAAGGGGTGTTTTAGTTGACTTTTTGTTTCAATGAGAGAAATAAATGGAAGAGATTGTGTTTCGGACTGAATCGGAATGGCATGTACACACAGTACACTGGGTGTAATCACATGTAATATAGTTGATGACCAATCATATTTCTATTATACTTTGGATATTGATTCAAATGAATTTTTTTCTACCATCATTATAAATCTTAATATTTCCTTGGCATATAATTTTATCATTTCTCTCGTTTCGAAACTTGAATAACAAAACAATGTTCTTTTCTTCCTACCAGAATTTTCTTCTCTCCCACTTCATCTTCTCCGTCTTCATTATGGCAGCGCACACCACCCATCATGCGGTCTTTTTCGATTTTACTCCTAGAGCTAGTGCATGATTCCTTTGTAGCTGTCAGGAATTGCCTTACCGTCGTGCGGGCTTCTTCTTGCACCCCACTTATTTTTATGTCCTGCACTCCTAAACTTTACTGTGATATCCATTATAACCCTACATATTAATAAATTATTAAATTAATTAGGCAAATAATAATGACTAAATATCCACCTGTATTTACTATTGTCGCTGTTATATTTAATTTTTCCAGCACTTCCTAGTCATTTTCATGAAACAGACTCTTCAACGGTGTTACTCTTCTTCAGTGTTCTTCTTCCTTCAACGGTGTTGTTCTTTAATGAATTTTGTTTTCAATGGATTTTTTGTTCAATGAATTTTTTGTTCGTTTTGGTTGAAGTAGATAGGTATGTATTTACTTCCTTCTTCTTCATTTACACCGTTGTTTTTTTACTTCTTCGATGAGAATTGGCTGTGAATTATTTTTCATTTTTCGTTCATGTATTTGTTTTTAAAACCCGATTTACAAATATGGCTATCGGATTTTAAAATATGATGAGCAAATAGATTTAGTAAGCACCGGATTCGGTAATCTCGTTTAAAATAAACACCAGATTTTGAATTATGATGCAAGCGTATCCTNTTTGTATTTTGGGTCAACAATAAGGATGGCGAGGTAAGGTGCTTTCCCTACACTAAGGGGTGTTTTAGTTGACTTTTTGTTTCAATGAGAGAAATAAATGGAAGAGATTGTGTTTCGGACTGAATCGGAATGGCATGTACACACAGTACACTGGGTGTAATCACATGTAATATAGTTGATGACCAATCATATTTCTATTATACTTTGGATATTGATTCAAATGAATTTTTTTCTACCATCATTATAAATCTTAATATTTCCTTGGCATATAATTTTATCATTTCTCTCGTTTCGAAACTTGAATAACAAAACAATGTTCTTTTCTTCCTACCAGAATTTTCTTCTCTCCCACTTCATCTTCTCCGTCTTCATTATGGCAGCGCACACCACCCATCATGCGGTCTTTTTCGATTTTACTCCTAGAGCTAGTGCATGATTCCTTTGTCGCTGTCAGGAATTGCCTTACCGTCGTGCGGGCTTCTTCTTGCACCCCACTTATTTTTATGTCCTGCACTCCTAAACTTTACTGTGATATCCATTATAACCCTACATATTAATAAATTATTAAATTAATTAGGCAAATAATAATGACTAATTATCCACCTGTATTTACTATTGTCGCTGTTATATTTAATTTTTCCAGCACTTCCTAGTCATTTTCATGAAACAGACTCTTCAACGGTGTTACTCTTCTTCAGTGTTCTTCTTCCTTCAACGGTGTTGTTCTTTAATGAATTTTGTTTTCAATGGATTTTTTGTTCAATGAATTTTTTGTTCGTTTTGGTTGAAGTAGATAGGTATGTATTTACTTCCTTCTTCTTCATTTACACCGTTGTTTTTTTACTTCTTCGATGAGAATTGGCTGTGAATTATTTTTCATTTTTCGTTCATGTATTTGTTTTTAAAACCCGATTTACAAATATGGCTATCGGATTTTAAAATATGATGAGCAAATAGATTTAGTAAGCACCGGATTCGGTAATCTCGTTTAAAATAAACACCAGATTTTGAATTATGATGCAAGCGTATCCTAGATTTCAAAATTTGATTTTGTTATCTCCTTAATTTTGAAATTTGGTTTTGTTATCTTTTTAATTTTGAAATTTGGTTTTAGAGTCTTCTAGGTTTTGAAATCTAGTTTTAAAATCTTTTAGATTTCAAAATTTGATTGGAGTCTTCCGAGTTTTGTAATCTTCTGGATTTTGAAATCTGATTTTGGAGTCCTTACATTTTGAAATTTGGTTTTGGAGTCTCTTGAATTTTGAAATGTCTTTTTTTATTTCATGTGTTTTGATTATTTTTTATTTTAGTTATTTGGTGTTTTCTATTTTATAATTTGTTGTTAATTTTTATTTTAGTTATTATTATTCAACAAGTGAGGTATTCTATGTTGTGTTATGTTGTAAGAGGTTATGGTGTTGGTATCTAAGATGGAAGATTATTCTTTAAGTTTAATGAAATAATAAGTAAATGAGAGCTTTACGTCAGATTTCTCTTTTCTTTTATAAATGAAATGTGAGAGGAAGATTATACAAACAACTTTACAATTATCAAAATTTTCCCACATGATGAGTTAATTCAATGGGTTTGAAGAATTTCTTTTCATCTTGGTTTTGTTGTTGTTATTTTAAGATCTGATAAAGCTAATGGTCAACTTGAAAGAAAAACATATACATTGCTAAAATGTGAAATGAGTGGAAAGTACAAGAAATACAAATATAATATTCTACCTAATATATTCGACATAAGAAAATATGATTCTCCTTTTAAATTGAGAGGCAAACTAATTGGTGATGGAGAGAGATGGATATTGAAGGTAATATGTGGACATCATAGTCATGATTTGTCAAAAATTTTAATTGGTCACCCTTTTGTTAGGAAGTTAAAATCCAATGGACATCCAAGAGTCGAGTGAAGCCTATAAACATTCTCCTTAGTCTAAAAAAATAATAAGTGTAATGTGACAACAATCAATAAATAATAAAATGCAAGATACACTTACAAACTATCACTGAGAGATTCCATAACTGAAAACAACTAATGATATTGTTCGAACGTGATAAATACATTCATTGGAATAGATGTATATATAAATCACTTGTGGTAAGTAACCTTTTTTGGACACATTATGTAGTAAAATTGTTGAATGCATTTAATATTGTTTTTTAATGGATAGCACATACAAAACCAATAAATATAAGTTATCATTACTTGAGATAGTTTGTTTGACATCAACGGGGTTGACTTTCTCAATTGTCTTTGTACTCTTATCGAGTGAACGACAAAATAATTTCACTTGGGCTCTTGAAAAACAAAGAAAATTATTTCTGACATTTGATGGTGGTCCTAAAGTCATTGTCAGTGACGAAAACCTAACTTTGATAAATGTCATTAACATTGTATTTCCTAAATGTTATTATCTCCTATGTCGTTTCCATATTTAGAAAAATGTATTAGCCAAGTGCAAAATGTTAATGAATTCTTTGAGGCATGGGATGTTGTCATGGAAGCATAGGAAAATGTCATGGATTATGAACATGAGTCAACATGTAGTCATTTTGTTGATCACCTTTATCATGTTTGTAATTCATGACCTTTATTATTTGAATATGTCAATGACTCATGAATCATTC